AGTTACCACCGATGAGTAAATTTGTATTATTGCACGTCTGGCTCGGATGGTGTGCTTAGAGAACAAGAGATTTATACCGGTTCGGCAGAAAGTCCCTACATCTAGTTCGTCGCTGTTGCTTGTGTTACTATCACCGAAAGTTTGTAGTAGGGGTTACAAACGGGTGAGAGAAGGAAAGGATCCCAAGTCTCTGGTGAAAGGAGTGAGTGGGTGCTGAGAGCTCGATTGTTGCTCAGCTATGCGTTCATGTCGTGCTCTTGTGCGGATCTGTATCGGATCTTGATGGGTCGATCGGTTCGGGACCCCCTTCATCGAGCGCCCTACTTTCCCTTTTATAGGCTAAGGGAAAGCGTGGGTTATAGCGGAGGAAAAGGAGAAGAACGAGAGAGAGAGGAAGGCCTCCTGGATAGCCGGGTCCTTCTTCTCCTTCATGCGGGTCCTACCAACCCTATAGATGTCAACAGGGACGGCTCCACGTCGTGATCCTATCCGTCACTGGCGCCATGCGCAGGTGTCATTAGTCGGTCATGGCGCTCCACTCCGTCCTGGCGGACGTCGTGGTGAACTGACACACCTGTCAGTGTTCGTACGAGGGTGAGGCAGAACAGGACCGGTACGCCCGACGCTGTTCTTGATGTGAATCCTCAGGTATGGTCCATCGTGGCTGCGGGTTACATTAGGGCGTGCTGGTCTCTTCCTTGGTGTAAGAGTTTTGACCCAGGCCCATACGCTTGGACCTGGAGTGGCTGGCGGTGGTATGGGTCCCCGTCGGGCGAGACGGAGCCCACACCCAAAGGGTCTGGCGAGGCGGAGCCCGCGGTCTTAGGGTCGGGCGAGGCGGAGCACAAACCCAAGGGTTGGGCTAAGCAGAGATCACGACCTCGGGGTCGAGCGAGGTGGAGCCCGCGGCCTCAGGGTTGGGTGAGGCGGAGCCCGCCTCTAGAGGTCGGGCGAGGTGGAGATCGCGGCCTCGGGGTCGGGCGAGGCGGAGATCGCGACCTCGGGGTCGGGCGAGGCGGAGATCGCGACCTCGGGGTTGGGCGAGGTGGAACCTACGGCCTCAGGGTCGGGCGAGGCGGAGCCCGCCCCCGGAGGTCAGGCGAGGCGGAGCCCGCGCACCTGGGGGGCGGTTGGAGCTGTAGGCGCGCTCTTGACTGCTCGGTTGAATCAATGTTGATGACCATTAACTCTTCGTCTTCGAGTACCCTAGTATTGGTCCCCGACAGTAGCCGCCCCTAGGTCGTTGGTCATCTTGCTGCTTGTGGAGCTGGTGGCCACGATCCCGAGCGCCGGGGTCATCATGGCCTTCGTTAACTTGGATTGCCTCAAAAAAGTCAAGGCCGCCGTCGTGGTCCCCATCCCGTAGTGGGGGAGTCGTACGTCTGTCTTGTCGGGCCGTATTTGGACGGTGGGTCGCCATACTGCCTGCCACCGCTCGGCGATGCTGTCTTGTCTATGATGCGTGGCCCAGAGATAGTGTCTGACCGGGCTGAGGTGACTGCTGTCCCCTCGGTCCTTGCGAGATCAGTGCGGCGTGCCTGCTCTTATCAGAGGGGGCGTGCTTGGCAGGGCTCGATCTCTCCCCGTTCCTCCTAGAAGTCGGGACGAAGGAGAGGTCGTGAGGAGTTACGTAGCGCGCGGTGAAGGCTGAGGGAAGAGGTTGTGACCAGCCCCTGCATTAGTGTTTGGCCTAGGTCCGCGTAGCTTAGCTTGGCCTCGATCGTTTGGGTTTATACTTAGCCGGTGCACCGTAGGTCGTCCGAGCAGCTAACTAATCGGTGTCTTGAGATATCCGGGGTATCATAACCCCGACACTATTTTAATTATTTTTTTAGCTACTAACTATTAGTTGGATAGATAACTAGGAAGATAAGGATATGTTTGGATCTATTAGCATTAGCTAGATAATTTTTAGTAGGGACCATTTGGATCCACTTACTAATATGGTTTGATAGTGAGAATGTAAACATAAATTATATACATCCATTATTAATTCTAAATCTGGTAATGAAACTAATAGTTAGGATACCTGGTTTAATAATGAGCAGGTCTCTTTCGATCCACCGGTGCTAATTTTACCAACCGATCAAACAGACCTAAATAGAGTCTAAACACACCCTTTACTCGATATTCGTCCTCAATGCAAAGCACTTGGACCGGAAAAAATTCCCTTGTCCGTATTCCTACCATGTCTCCACTTCGTCTCAGGTGAGGGCCACTGTCTGTCATCATCCGTGCCTCCTCATCGATCCTCTCGTGCCAAAGACGCTTTTGCTGCATCGCTTTGCTCCTCTTTTCATTCAGCTTTGGCGGTTTGGTCACCTCCCGTGGAATTCGGACACACTTCCCAAGCCAGTGCCTAGCTGCCCCCACACCAACTTTGCCAATTCTTTGCTTCCAGAGAATCCCTCAAAGCTGGTGGCTTTGCTGGGAGAAAAATTTGTACTGCGGTCAACACGTCGCAGCTTCCAATAAAGCTCTGGCGTTGCTTTATGGCATGAATGATGGGTGAATTTCCTTTTCCCCTAAAAAATGAGTTTGAACTTCTGATCCGCTTATCTTATAATCTGTACTTTTCAGCTCGTTTTTTCAACTAAAACAATATTTTTCTTTTACAACAAATCAGCTGGAACAATATTTATTTTTTCAGCAAAGTGAACGGAGCCTCTGTCTAAACACTTGTGTTGTAATTAGTGGATCCAAGTATGCAACTGTGTGGACTTTTTGAAATATACTCTCCCATTCCTATTTAAGTGTCGCCGTGGGATCCGTGTCAGACATTTTTTTTAAACTTAACTAAGTTTATAGAAAATATTAGCAACATTTATATCTCTAAATAAATTTATTATAAAAATAGATTCAATATCTAATGATATTAATTGTGTATTATAAATATTAATATTTTATTTTATATATTTAGTCAAATTTAAGTATGTTTGACTCTTCGAGAAGTGAAAACTACGTATAAAAAGGGAAAGAGGGAGTATATTACTTGATAAGCGGAGATAATTTTGGTGTGATTAGTTATTTGTATTAGCCTTAGACTACATTAGACCTTATACAGCAGGACTAAGAGCTAGGGTAACCATGTGTAGTATGTTGATGTTTAGTTATCCTGCATAGGAAGCTACGTTTGAACATCGTGTTTTGTTGGTTACATACATTATGTTGCATTTAATCACTTTCACATTCTAGTAAAGGCATCGTGTTGACATGTTGTAGCACATGTGGGAGAGATAAGAATATTTATTTTTATGTGCTCTATCGGTTTTTGTAAATTTGCATTGTCTAATATGATCAAATTCGATGCACAGGCTAATGCTACATTGGCTTTAATTTAAACATTGTGAAAGTATGCATAAGAGCCTAGATGTAACCAGCCACAAGTAAACTACGACTAGTGTAGGTAACCAATTAGATCTGATGCATTCTACATTTAGGGTTAGTTTGGTTCCTACCCTGGCGAAGTTGCCTGGTGCAGGGAGCTCCCCCAAGTGTCCGATTTTAGATGCCTTGGGTGGAGATTGATGCTTGGGCGGCTTTTTGCCGAGTAGGTATTGAACCAAACAAACCATAAATCACATGACTACATTTAAGGTATTTTTACTCTGTACAATTCAGAAATCAATTATAACTCCATGGGGTAGTACTTAAATGGTTGTGGGTGGGTGGGTGTGTCAGTGTGTGTGTGGGATCGTTATTAGAACTTCGAAGTTTACAAAAAAAAGTACCATAAAAAGCATATAAATGCAAAAGTGATATGATTTATTAACTACATGAATTTTGGGTGGTCTTTATTGTGCAACAATGGTGAAGGGATTCGCTCGTCAAAATCATAAAGCATTCCATGATGATAACTGAGCAAGAAGCAATCTCCGATGAACTAGGACTTTCTCTATAACAACCTTTTTAACCTAATAGCTTTTGTTTTCCCTGTTAATACATTATACTAGTCACCTAAAACTTGATGCTTCGACTTAAATCCGTTCAAAGTTTTGAGACTCTTGCCTTTTTTACTTAGAAAACATAAAATTTATGGGTTGATTTATCATGAGAACTGCTATAATTTTATACATTCATTAGATATTATACTTATTATTCTAGTTTAAAATGGTAGTTAACGTGACACTTTATTCAATGATATCATGTGTGCATTTTTCACCGTAGTAGTTGTTTATCTTTTCAAACAACAATAATAACCGATTCACACTTTTCTCTTCTTTCTCCTAGGTCTTCCCTGCAAGCCCTATATATACTACTCCTACATAGAAACAAAAAGGAAAAAATCTGCCTGAAAAGAAAAATCCTGCATTGTTTTTCTCTTTTTTGTCTTGACATGTCCTTCTATTCCCTAGAAATATGGAGTACTATATTTAATTCACAGTGGTATAAAAGGAAAACAATAGTAGAATACTCCTATCCACACTTCCCCTTTTCTCCTCTCTGTCTTCCTCACAAGTCTAATTCGGAAGACTGAAAAGAATTCGTCCATTGTTTTCTATATCCCGGTTCTCCATGGCAGGTCAGGTGGCAGGCGTGTTTGTTCCCTCCCCTGCTTTTGTGCTCTTGCGTTGCGTCCTGCCGGAGCGCAAGCATCTTCTTTTGTGTCATTTGCCTCTGACAGGGCCCCAGAGCCGGGCTGCCTGTACCCTGTGTGTCCTGTCTCTGTGTGCCTTGCGTTTGCGTCCCCCTACAGTGCCACTGGCCACTGCCATCTCTCTCGGCTTTGTCTAGCTGCCTTTCTCCCTCCCTCTGTGTGGCCTGTGGCGTGTGGGGGAGAGAGGGAACAGAGAAGGCTGGACTGCGCTGCACCTGCACTGCGTTTGCATGTTTTTCTTGGCCTCACGCTTGTTCCATGTTTGAACACACAACATTGCACGCAGGACGCAGGCGCACACACCCTCTCCTCAGTCCTCCCCTTGCCCTTGGAACGAACCGCCACCCTTCCTCGCGCTCTTCTCTTGGCTCCACCCCACCACCTCTGCCTCCTCCCTTCGGCAATGGAGGCGGCGCCTCCATCTTCTCCCCCCTCCCTGGTGGAGCTACTCTTGCTGCTGCTCATCATCTCCTCCCCTTGCAGCGCTCTCCTCTCCCCCAAGGGCGTCAACCCTGAAGGTTCCTCCTTCCTTCCTCTCTTTCTTTGTTTCGTTATATACGGAGTACTCTCTTTCTACAGTACTACTACTAGTTTCTATCTCTGTTCCGTTTGCCTCGAATCAAATCGGTGTTTTTGACGGTTCTTTCTCGAATGGAAATGGGGAAATCAAGGACTTCACTTCACTCTTGGCTGTCTTCGTTGTGTTGCTTCTTGCATTGGTGGGAGCTCACTGATTTCTCTGGTATATGTATAATGTTGTGCAGTACAAGCTCTGATGACGATCAAGAACATGCTCGAGGACCCCCATGGCGTGCTCAAGAACTGGGACCAGAACTCCGTGGATCCCTGCAGCTGGACCACCGTCAGCTGCTCGCTGGAGAATTTCGTCACCAGACTGTAAGCATCCCACTTCCTCCCTCCTCTATGTGCACTGCTTCCAGACCCAGATCAATTTCACTGCAGAGTTCTTCCCCATGTCCATGTGTTCTTACCAATGTTCTGTGGACTGTGGTTATTTGATTGTTTGGCAGGGAGGTCCCAGGCCAGAACCTCTCTGGCCTGCTCTCCCCAAGCTTAGGGAACCTGACCAATCTTGAGACTCTGTGAGTACTACTTCTTCTCCCTGGATGATAGGATAGCCTTGTCATTGCCAGTTTCTGCTTTCAGTCCGTGTGGTTCCTTTTTGACTGGAGCCATGTTGGTCTTTTGCTTTCCTTCCCTGTTGCAGTCTCCTGCAGAACAACAACATCACCGGCCCAATCCCGGCAGAGATTGGCAAGCTTACAAAGCTTAAGACACTTGATCTCTCTAGCAACCACCTGTATGGTGGAATCCCCACTTCTGTGGGCCACCTTGAGAGCCTGCAGTACCTGTGAGTACAGTAGTACATGCAAGCCTCTCATTAATGCTGTTCTTCAGGCGTTCACATTAAATAGTTCCTGTCTCTTGTCATGATAAGCTGGATTTGTTGCCATGTCCAGGAGGCTCAACAACAACACCCTGTCTGGTCCATTCCCTTCAGCATCAGCTAATTTGTCCCAGCTTGTTTTCCTGTGAGTAGCTTCTCACTGTTTGTGTTCATGTTTGGGTGTTATTTTACTTGGGTTTGTGTTCACTGTACACCGTGTCTTTCAGAGACTTGTCATATAATAACCTGAGTGGTCCAATACCGGGATCTTTGGCAAGAACATTCAAGTAAGGCTGGAATTTTGTGCCTGTTACTTCATAATATAATTTTCACATCCCAAGTATATGACACTTGAACAGGAAATGTTAGACTGAAGGCTATTCTGCTATTGATGTTCTTGCAGCATAGTTGGGAATCCTCTCATCTGCGGCACCAACACCGAGAAAGATTGCTATGGGACTGCCCCAATGCCACCAGTGTCCTACAACCTCAATAGCTCACAGGGTGCTCTGCCACCGGCAAAATCTAAAAGCCACAAGTTTGCAATTGCATTTGGTACAGCAATTGGTTGCATCAGCTTCCTCTTCCTTGCTGCTGGATTTCTGTTCCGGTGGAGGCACCGTAGAAACCGGCAGATCCTTTTCGATGTCGATGGTAAGCAGACCTCCATGTTTACTTTCAATCCATACATCATTTGGTAGCCTGAGAAATTAACAGTTAATGATGAAATTGTTCTTGGAATGAATTGGCCACATGCAGACCAACACATGGAGAACGTTAGCCTTGGAAACGTGAAGAGGTTCCAGTTCAGGGAGCTTCAGTCTGCGACAGACAATTTCAGCAGCAAGAACATACTAGGAAAAGGTGGCTTTGGATACGTCTACAGAGGGCAGCTCCCTGATGGAACTCTTGTGGCTGTGAAGCGACTGAAGGACGGCAATGCTGCAGGCGGTGAGGCACAGTTTCAGACTGAGGTTGAGATGATCAGCTTGGCACTGCACAGAAATCTTCTCAGGCTCTATGGGTTCTGCATGACTGCCACTGAGAGGTTGCTGGTCTATCCATACATGTCAAATGGAAGCGTTGCATCACGCCTGAAAGGTAAGCTTTCTCAAGATTCCAATGTGATTAATAATGATAAACCCACTTGCAGTAGTGCAGAACAAATTCTCTCTTTTTTTCTCCTGATCATACCATGCCTAAAAGACGGTGTCAAATTGCAAGTTGCAACCCGACAAGCCGAATTCGGAAAATAACTGGAATTGGATTCTAGTATTCCCTTATTTTTCCATTGGACAAATGTTGGCACAGCACAAAAGCAAGCATATGATTCCTATCAATGCAAATCTTCACTTTATTCCACAATGATCACTACAGGGAAGCCACCTTTGGACTGGGTGACCAGGAAGAGGATATCTCTTGGCGCAGGGAGGGGGCTACTGTACCTGCACGAACAGTGTGACCCCAAGATCATACACAGGGATGTCAAAGCAGCCAACATCCTGCTAGATCACTGCTGCGAGGCTATTGTTGGTGACTTTGGGCTCGCTAAACTCCTCGATCATCGGGATTCACATGTCACCACTGCGGTGCGAGGCACTGTTGGTCACATTGCGCCTGAGTACCTCTCCACTGGTCAATCGTCTGAGAAGACCGACGTCTTCGGATTTGGCATCCTGCTACTGGAGCTGATCACCGGTCAGACTGCACTAGAGTTTGGAAAGGCAGCAAACCAGAAGGGAGCCATGCTTGATTGGGTAAGAAATCTACAAGTCTTGTTTAACTCATCGAACAACAAGAACTTATGCGTAAACAATCAATGGATTGTTGGGTTCTTGATTTATTAGGCAGAAAACATCAATAATAAATCAGAAAGATCTGCCAAAAGGTGTGTGTTTGATCAAGCAACGTCGGTTTTGTTGTTGATCAGGTGAAGAAGATGCACCAGGAGAAGAAGCTGGACGTGCTGGTGGATAAGGGGCTGAGGGGCGGGTATGACAGGATCGAACTAGAGGAGATGGTGCAGGTGGCGTTGCTGTGCACGCAGTACCTCCCCGGCCACCGGCCAAAGATGTCAGAGGTGGTCCGGATGCTGGAAGGTGATGGGCTTGCAGAATGGTGGGAGGCTTCGCAGCGCGCGGACTCGCACAAGTTCAAGGTGCCTGATTTCACTTTCACCGCTGCTACTCCAACCTTACCGACGACTCGTCACTGCTGGTGCAGGCCGTCGAGTTGTCAGGCCCAAGATGACACCACCACCACCACCAGTTTGCACTTGTACAGCATAAGCACCGATAATCCTGTGTAGATTGCCAGATTGGGGAATAAAATGAGCCATACTATACTAGAATAACTATAGATGTGTATTAGATGAACTGTACAAAATAAGAGCATAAGGTTTGTACTGATTTGGATATTTACAGAATTAGTAGTTGAGACAATAAGACCAAGTAAAGGAGCTTTTTATTGAATCGGAAAGTTTTTGCTTGGGTTGTCAGGCTCTGTTGACTCTTCCCTCTTATGCTTTTCCTTGCTGTATTTTTCAGAATGCAACAGGTTTTGAAATATTATCAGAGTCCTTAGTTGATTTGGACATAAATGAAACATTGTGCCAAGCCTTGAAATTTATTTTTTTTCTAAGAAGTGACAGGAGATGTGGGCTGCATTTCAAAGAAGGGAGTTGCTAAATCTGACCTGAGTGTTTCATGAGACTCCAACAACATAGAATCAAAGTATGCAATTGCATGTGTCCTAGACTTATTTTGCACTATCCTCCCGGCAAAGCATCACCGGCTTTCACATGTCCATTGTAGAACTGCATGAGTAGTAGTTCTTCTGTGTCTGGAAGTGAACATCAGCTGGTAGCATAAAGAACAGAAATCCAACAGTGAGCATTGCAGAATTACAAGCCTGTAAGTACAACATGTAAGCCCAGGAAAACTGGGTATAGGTTGAAGCGTTGCAATAAAGTAGCTGCTCAAACGTGAAACAAAGTAGCTGCTCAAATGTGACCAGAAGTACTTAGCTTGCATTTGTGTGATCAAATAAACTGATTTTGGCAACATATATGCAGTGTATGTTTTAGCAACCGTATATGTGACCAAAAGTGCAAGATTCAGCACAATAGGATGCATCTATGAGATCAAAAGTGCACAATAATCTTATAATCAAATCGAGCATAATGCTATGTCATCCTGTAGGTGCAAGCTGCAAGACCAAACAATGTGGTTTCCATTTTTCGGATAAACTAACATATGTGAGACCAAAAGTATGCCATCCTGTAGGAGATACCAGCAGTGTATAACTACTATATATACATGAGACTTAAGTACAGCTGTAAAAATTATGAGTAATCAGGTAACAAATGCAGTAATTAAAACCTGAAGAACTGTGTTACCCACTTGCCAGTAGAAGCATAAAGTGATGCTTCAAATCCACAACCAGAGGTGTGAAGGATCCCTCCATCATATAAACACAAAATTGCATGTTCAGGTTCATGTCATCTCTCAGGGGTAAGAATCCGATTGTTGCCTTTAATAAAAATGAAGATTAAGAATCGAGCAGATAAGAATTTACTGACCAATTTGTACTGTTAACTAAGGTCCCCTATTGCGCACATAAAAGAGCACAAAGACAAATATTGACATCTGTCATGGAACATATGTGAGTGCTATACCATGTCTTATAAGTTATACTACGCAAAAATCTGATATGCACATCGTACGTACTGTAATAGCTACTCATCGATCGAATGTGGGAATGCATGCATTTTCAGTGTACGATCCTTTGTGAGAGAAAAAAAGAAACTTCATTAAAATAAGATGTACATGTTGATTTAATACTATATTTCTATATATTTTCGAGGTAATATATGCTTGCCATGCGTAGCACTTCCGAAACACAAACACGGAACTATGCAAGGGAAATATATGTGTAGTGAAGTAACAGCTAACAGAGGATGTACTTTCTTCCGCGCTCTCGTGTGTGCGGAGGCCAGAGAAATCAGCGGGAAGAACGACGAGCGGCGGCGGTCCATTCGCGTTTGCCGGCTGCACGGAGCTTCTGCTGCTCCGATCGGCTCCACCGCTCCTCGTCGGAGGACGCCGCCGCATTAGTTTTCCTTTTCCATCACCTTGCGCCGTTTTATGGATGGGCCAAGAGGGGATTGTTTCTATGGGCCCGTTGGACGATCCACTGGGCCGACCCGCCCCCGGATTGTGGACAAACACAAGATGCATTCAAGCAAGCATAGCAGCCAACGCAGGAGCCATGCGCGTGCCTCCATGGCGTAAGCGTAAGCCGCAGAGCGGCGAACCGCGCCGCCGATGCTCTCAACATCCCCGTCGTCCTCGTCCGACGCTCCACTCTTCACTCCTAGCGTCGCCGCCGCGCTCCTCGCACGCTGCACTTCCCGCGTCGCCGCGGCAGCGCTGCACGCCCGCCTCCTCCGCTGCTCTCGCGCCTTCTTCCGCTCCCCCTACCTCGCCAACTGCCTCGGCGCCGCGTACTCCCGCCTCGGCGCCGCACCGTCCGCCGTCGCGCTCCTACGCGCCACCGCCGCCAAGCCCAACGTGTTCTCCCACAACATCCTCCTGTCGGCGCTTCTCAGCTCCGGCCTCCTGGAGGACGCGCGCGTGCTGTTCGACGGGATGTCTCACAGGGACGTGGTCACCTACAACGCCATGCTCTCCGGCTACGTCGCCGGTGCGCTTCCGGACGAGGCGTTCCGTGTCTTGTACTGCATGAGGGAGCGTGGCGTCAGGCCAACCGCCTTCACCTTCTCCATAGTATCGTCGGTGGTTGGCTCTGTCCGCCGTGGCCAACAGCTTCACGCTGCTGCTGTCCGCCACGGCCTGGCACACCGTGATGCCGTTGTAGGCAATGCGCTTATTGATATGTATGGCCGGGTTGGGCTCTTGGATTATGCAGCGCGTGTCTTCTCTTGCATGGAACAACCAGATGTCACATCCTGGAACTCTGTCATGTCCGTTTACAAGGATCAGGCTCTCATCAGTACTGTCTTTAGGTGTTTCCGGTCCATGAGGAGCAAAGGCTTTTCAGTTGATGGCTTCACTGTGTCCATCGTGCTCAGTGTTTGCTCAGATAGGAAGGATTTTGCCAAGGGTGACCAGATGTTGGCACTCTGCATTAAGACGAGTGTCCTTACAAACTCCATCGTTTCTAGTGCTGTTATTGACTTCCTCTGCGTGTCTGACAGACTGTCTGATGCTGTTCAGCTCTTCAGAGAAATGCCAACATGGGCCTCAGAGCCTTGCAATGCACTGATATCGGGCTATGCTAGGAGTGGCCTAATGGAAGAAGCCCTCAGCCTCTTTGCGGTGTCTATGCGAAATGGTATTATTCCAAATGAGTTCAGTTTTGCGAGTGTGCTGAGATGGAGTTCATGCTTTGGTTTAATGGAGCAGGGCACTCAAATCCATTGCCTGGTTTGCAAGCTTGGGTTTCAGAATGATGTAATTGTTTCCACAGCCCTCACTGACATGTACTGTAAATTGGGGTTAACAAAGCATGCCAGAAAAATCTTCAGCACAGTTGGCGCCAAGGATTTGGTGTTATGGAATACAATGCTGCTTGGCCTATTGCAAAATGGAAGAGCTAAGGAAGCCCTTGTAATATTTAAAAGGATGCTCAAGTGTGGTATCGAACCTGATAGAATCACTCTTTTTGGAGCCTTATCTGCATATGGTTTAGAAGGTTTGGTAACTGAAGGAATGGATATAATTACCCTGTTCAAAGATAGGTACCATATTATGCCTAGCCTGGAGCACTATACTTGCGTGGTCGACATGTTATGTCGTGCTGGGATGTTCAGAGAGGCAGTGAATTATGTAGAGAACAAGTTGCCAAAGTCTAGTGCTGCTACTTTCTCTAATATTCTGGAGGCCTGTATAGTCCATGGGAACATTGGCATGGTAGAGCTAGTTGCTGAAAAGATGGTGATGCAGAAATCTCGATTGTCACTGCCATATATTGTTTTGGCTCAAATATATGGTGCCAGATGTAAGTGGGAAAAAATGGCTGGAGTGTGGAGGTTAATGGAAGATCGAAGAGCAAAGAAGGTTCAGTCATGCAGCTGGCTCTGCATCAAGAATCGTATTTATGTTTTTACGTCGGAACAGATATTGCACCATGGAAAAGTAGCTACCTATGAGGTTTTGGATCTTCTATTTTGGGACATGACGGATCATAAATATGCTCTTAGTTTCGTAGAGCCCGAGAACAATGAAGGATTAGATTGTGTCCAGCTGTTCCTCGACCAACCTGCTTCCTAACAAGTTACCTTGCCTTGCTTGTACTGAAGGTTCGTAGTGTCACAGACTATGAACTCAGAAAAGGTGCTTTCAGTTATGTGAATCCTTTCATAGAACTGTAGCTTACTTCTTTTCGAATGTTTTTTGATTGGAATTGTTGTTTTGCAGATTGCAGTAAGATTTTGCTAGATTACGGTTAGGCTATTGCAACTTGGCCATTTCTCTGTATGAACTGCAATGTCGCGGAAGATTTTGAGATATGGGCAGGTAAATTTCTTCTCCCTCCTGTCAATTGCTGCATAGATTTCATCAATACTAGTAAACTATCTGGACTTTAAAAATTTCAAGTTTGCTGTGTAGGTTTGGTACTTTTTATATATTGGTTCCCAGATTTTGAATTCATGTCAGCTGATTATTTGTTAACTAAATGGCAAACTCTACATTTCCACGCCTATACCTTTTGTAATTTTGTTTGGTAGGGAAAAGATTCAACCCAGAATCATCTGGGCATGCTCTCCTCAGCTATAGGAAGCCTAAGCTAATTGGGGATGTGTGAGTATTCTCATGGATAGCCTTGTCAGTGCTAGTGTTTGTTTACGTCTAACCATTAGTTTCCTATTTGTTTCCCTGTTACAGTCTGCTGAACAACATGTAAATGGGCAATCCCAACAGAGATTGGCAAATTAGGAAAGCTCAACTTAATCTCTTTAGGAACCCCTTTTATGGCAGAACCCCCAAATCTGTGGGTCACCTTGAAAGCCTCCTGCACCTGTGAGTGGAGCCTATCTGTGACAACTTTCTTCCATTACTGTTTTGTCTCCTTGAGGTAATTCTAGTTTAGTTTGCACTCATTGTATGCTTATGTTTTTTCAGAAACTTGTCATATAATGACTTGATGGTTACTGAGATCTGGTGTAATACAATGCAAGTAAGGATGTAGTTTTTATGTTTGTGCTTCTCTAGAACATAATTTTCTCATTGGACGTATGGCACACAGAGGAAGTTTAAATATAAGGTTTTTTCATGCTCATGGTTTTCTTGCAGCATAGTCAGAAGTCATTTCATCTGTGGTTCTATATTGAGCAGGATTGTAAGGGACTGCACCGATGGCAATGAAGTGCCAATGTGAAGAGCCGACAAGTAAGAATGCAAACTAGTTGCCTCTCAAAATTTCCTATATTTAGTGAGGGAAATAAAGTGATAATGCTTTCTTCTACTCGGTAGATTTTATTTATGATTCCTATAATAACAACCTTGTATTCTCGATAAGGACGATCCCGCACCTCAATCGAATGAACAGATTGGGGAAATATTATAACTCGTGTTCAAGACCATGGGTATAATGTGATATTCTCTTCTTCTTTTTGCAAGGATGTGATGATCTCTTCTTAGTGTCATTGAATGTAGAGCGTGGATGACTAAAATAAATTAAATTTCAGTCTTGCAATATCTACTGTGAGGAAAATATATATTTGCATGTATACTAATTTTCACACCTAAACATTCGTATTGATAGGATAAGGGTTTTCATGGTTGTAGCACTGTAGGGTGTCATGTTTTAATGTATTCAATTTAAATTTGTTTTCCATTGCACACTTGATGTGTATTTTGTGGTGAAGTTAATTTTTTTATTTATGGTGCAACCTAGAATTATGGAGCTTAAGGAATCTAAACACATGGATGATCTTATCATGTGGTGCATTGATCGACCTTGTTTGAATCCGACTTCAATTGTACAGTCAAATAAAGTTCAGAAACGGTTAGCCTTGTTTGCTCACTTGCTCAGTGGTCTTTATGATTATAGTTAAGTTCCTGGAATTGTCGCCAAGGATTAGGGACTACAAACATTGCTAAGATTATCTGTCTTGAACTAATTTGGAGACCATTGATAATTATCTGAGGCTACCAAAATGCTTAGCAATCCCAGTTAGAAAATTGAAACGAGTTTATCAGTATTATGAAGTCAGCATTTCCATTATACAAAACCTGACAGCATGAATGTACTTAAATGGAGCCAATACAAACTACTCCCTTCATTCCAAATTGTAAGTCGCTTTGGTTTTTCTAGGTACCTAGCTTTTGCAATGCACCTAGACATTTTTTGTACAGCAGCTATGCACCAAGAATCCTAGATATATACTATGTCTAGATACATAGTAAAGACTATGAACCTAGAAAATCTTAAGTGACTTGCTCAGTGGAACAGAGTGAGCACATTTTGTGCCTGTCGAGTTTTAGAGTGTAGAAATGGGGTAAATGTTTTGAATTTTTCTAACACTTAGCACTGGCAGGTCAACTTGCTGTCAAACTTTGGAGCTGGTCGACGCGTGGCTAGATACGTGGCCAAGCTCAGCTGTTTTGCTCTCCGCTCCAGCTCTGTCTCTCCTTTCCCTGGATTCCATCTACCGAGCTCACTTCCTTTGCTCTCTCTGTTCCTTTGGCGAGCTTGCTGTGCTGTCAAGACTCAAGACCCGTCACCAGCACCTCTTCAGTGCCATCTCAGCTTGGCCCTCCCGCCACTACCTCCCATGGTTGCTGTGCTTCTGCTTCCCTTCTCACGCCTTGCCATCAAGATCCAATGCTACATATTCACCATGAGCTCATCTTTGTGCTCCGGCAGTCCTCTTTCCCATCTGCAGTAGAGTAGTGCAGCAGTGTGGGCAAACCATCTCCCCCACTGCCTGGCGGCAGCACAGACTTGTGTTATCTTGCTTAGCATACGTGAGAGCTACCAATTTGTCTATAATTTGTGCTCGCACATCATAAATTCAGATTTAAACACTTGATCTTGTAATAACTCTAAAAACCTGACATACTATTCCTTGTTGTTTCTTTGTGCATGGATATGAAGTTGGCATTGTGAACCGATACGCAAGCGATCTTGGGTGTATCCTTGATGCATCGAGGGAATACGAGGGTGGGTTTCGCTTCAAATGATTGATACTGTTTCTGTCCAGGATTTTAGTTGTGTAACATGTTGATTGCCCGATAGAAGATATGTTAGCTCTCAACTTTATTGGATAGCGACCTGTTAATTTGAATCGAGGACAATTTAGATGACTCTTGACACGAATTGTTTCGAATTATTTTTCATTACTTACCTAATTAACCTTAATCCACATCAATAAATACCCTAAGCGCTGGAGTCTTGCATTTCCGGGTCATGGCTGCCTTTTTTGAGCACAGTTGAGCTGGACTATGGTGACCTTTTTCGGCAGGGCTGTGTCTATATATGGCTAGTGCGTAGTGGCATGCAATTATGCACCAAGCCCAAGGATTTTCAATTGCAGCTGCTTTCGACTTCCAACTAAATTCTGAAGTACAAATCTTTGCAAAGCAAGTGCAAAACTTATGTCCATGTTCTGTCACTCCTTAGAGCATCCATAAATTCTTGGCATTTATTCGATGTGCACGCATGTGCGTGCTTATTTGCTGGTTGTGTATGTTGAGTGTGTGTCTACCTAGTACTTTTTGATAACAAAACAGATAAATAGAGTCAGAGAGAATTTCTGCATTCTCCCCACTGATGGCCATATTAAATGCAGAGGGAACCCTGTCCTCTTTCTTCCCCAAGAGAAGCCTTCCTCGCGCTCTCGATTCACCTGCCTCTAGCAATGAAGGCGCCTCCATCTTCCTCCTTCCTATTGTTGCTCCTGCTGTTCTTCCCTTCAAGCGGCCTTGCCGCCCCCAAGGATTTCAACTATGAAGGTTCTCCTCTGTTGTGGTTTCCAAGGACTCATTTTTTATTAGTGGTGTCTGTCTCTGTTAGGTTTTTTTGCACTGTTACGTGTTGATTTCTGTGGTACTGGCAGTGCAAGTTCTTATGACGATCAAGAGCCTCCTCAAGGACCCCCCATGGTGCGCTAAAAAACTGGCACCCAGACTCCGTTGATCCCTGTAGCTGGTCCTTTGTCTCCTGCTCACCAGAGAATCTTGTCACTGTACTGTAAGCTAGACCCCTACTCTCCATCTATTCTTACCTCCAAATCAAAGCCACCTGTCATGTGGGGGCGCACGTACGTGAGACGCCGTGCGCGTGACGTGCGCCGCGCTGCAGAGCGCGCCCATCTCTCGGCTAGGAAGGCCACCGTTAGTGGCTAAGTTTAGCAAGTAGCAATTAGTTATTTGGCTTTCCTATTAGTTTGTTGGCTTTCCTAAATTGTAGGCATGGCCGTTCCAGCCATGGGCTATTTATTATTGTATCCGGCACTTTGCAAATTAAGAAAGATCATTATCCCTAATCTCTCTCTTCTCTCTAACCAAACCCACGGTGGAGGGGCAAAACCTCACCGGAGACGACACGGACCGCGGCTACAACCTCCGTAGCCAAGGGCCGGCTACCCTGGGCGTCGAGGCCCTTGACAACCTGGTATCACGGTCACACCGATCCCGTTCGTCCGCCGCCGCCGCCGTTTCATCCTCCGCTGCCACGCTGCCCACCTCTGTCGCGCCTATTCCCAGCGCACCGGACTCCCCACCATCAGCCGCCTCCGCTACATCTCCCATGGCGGATCCCTCCAACGCCGACATCGCCAGGATGATCGAGAGCCTCACCGGCACGATCGCCTCCCTACAGTCCGACGTCGCGGCCTTGAAGAAGGACAAGGACAAGTCCTCATCGTCCTTAGGTCCGGGCGGGGGCATGGACGGCCAGCACCACAACGATCGCCCTCCGCGGTTCCAGAAGATGGATTTCCCGTGCTATGATGGTACGGTCGATCCGCTCATCTTCGTCAGCCGCTGTGAATCTTATTTCCATCAACAGCGGATCATGGAAGAGGAGAAGGTGTGGATGGCCTCGTATAATCTTGAGGACGTGGCCCAGCTGTGGTACCTCCAGCTCCGGGATGACGAGGGCGTTCCTCGGTGGAGCCGTTTCAAGGACCTTCTCCAGCTGCGTTTCGGTCCGCCCCTGCGCTCTGCTCCCCTCTTCGAGCTCGCGGAGTGCCGGCGCACAGGCACCGTGGAGGAGTACCAGAACCGGTTCCAGGCGCTCCTACCCCGCGCCGGGCCCCTGGAGGAAACGCAGCGCGTCCAGCTCTTCACGGGGGGTCTTCTGCCGCCGCTGAGCCATGCGGTGCGGATCCACAATCCGCAGTCGCTCGCGGCCGCCATGAGCCTCGCCCGCCAGGTGGAGCTGATGGAGCTTGACAGGCAGGCCTTGGCGCCGGCTCCTGCCCGACCGGCACCCCGCGGCCTGCTCCCAGCACCGGCTCCGCGTCTCGCGCTTCCTGCACCGCCGCCACCACCGCCTTTGGCCGCCGGGGGTGCCCGCCAGGAGCCCAAGCCGGTGAGACGCCTCTCGACGGAGGAGCAGGCGGAACGCCGTCGCTTGGGGCTGTGTTATAACTGCGACGAGAAGTACTCCCGCGGCCATAATCGGGTCTGCCGCCGTCTCTTCTACATAGCCGGGGTCACGCTCAACGACGACGAAGACGCCGCCCTGGACGGCCCCGATACGGAGGCTCCGGTCTTCTCGCTGCAGGCCGTGGCCGGGGTGCCGCCTTGCGACACCATGCAGGTCCGGGTGCGGGTGGGCGCGGTGACGCTGACCGCCCTCCTTGACACTGGCTCCTCTCATAACTTCATCGCCGAGGAGGCGGCGCGCCTCTGCAAACTGGCCATCCAGCCCAAGCCGCGCCTTACCGCCACTGTGGCGAACGGCGAGAAGCTCCAGTGCCCCGGCGTCCTACGCCAGGCGCCCATTTCCGTCGAGGGCGAGGCGTTCGAGGTGGATCTCTTCGTCTTGCCGCTGGCGGGCTACGATGTCGTCCTGGGGACTCAATGGTTGGTTACCCTGGGGCCGATCACGTGGGACTTCAAGGCACGCGCACACGTCGTTCGCTTCGCCGAGACCGGACCGGTGTCTTTTGGTCGATGTGTGGCTGCGCGCCCGGCTCTCTCGCAGCCACCGGGCAAGCGAGGGACCTCCTCGACGAAGCTGTTGGACTCCTTCCGGGGTTTTCGCTGAGCCCTCTAGCCTACCTCTCTGGCGTGGCGGGACCACAACATCGTCCTCAAAACCGGTGTGTGCGGCCGGTAGCCGTTCGCCCTACCGCTACCCGGCGGCCCACAAGGATGAATTGAGCGGTAGTGTGCCGCCATGATCGCCAGGCATTGTCCACCGCGGCGACTCGCGTTCTCGCCCCCTCGTCCTTCTCGTCAAGAAGCAGGACGGGTCGTGGCGTTTCTGCGTTGACTACCGCGCCCTCAACGCAATTACGGTCAAGGACGCCTTCCCAATTCCTGTCGTCGACGAGCTCCTTGATGAGCTCCATGGGGCACGTTTCTTCACCAAGCTGGATCTCCGCTCGGGGTATCACCAGGTGCGGATGCGGCCAGCCGACATCCACAAGACCGCCTTCCGCACCCACGATGGCCTCTACGAGTTCCTGGTCATGCCGTTCGGCTTGTGCAACGTGCCGGCGACGTTCCAGGCGCTCATGAACGACGTTCTCCGCCCGTTCCTCCGCCGGTTCGTTCTTGTGTTTTTTGACGACATCCTAATCTACAGCAGGACATGGGCGGACCACCTTCGACACATCCGCGCCGTCCTCAGCGAGCTCCAGCGCCAACAACTCTTCCTCAAGCGCGCCAAGTGTGCCTTCGCCAGTACCTCCGTCGCGTACCTGGGCCACGTCATCTCCGAGGCAGGCGTCGCCATGGACCCGGCCAAGGTACAGGCGGTGCAGGACTGGCCGACACCGCGCTCGGCCCGCGCTGTTCGCGGTTTCCTCGGCTTGGCGGGGTACTACCGCAAGTTCGTGCATAATTACGGCACCATCGCCGCGCCGCTCACCGCTCTGCTGAAGAAGGAAGGCTTCCTGTGGTCTAGTGAGGCCTCGGCGGCCTTCGACGCCCTCAAAGAAGCAGTCACCACCGCCCCGGTTCTCTCCATGCCGGACTTCTCCAAGCCCTTCATCGTCGAGTGCGACGTGTCCTCCCACGGGTTCGGGGCCGTGATGGTCCAGGACAGCCACCCTGTGGCTTTCTTCAGTCGACCGGTGGCACCTCGCCATCGCGCGCTTGCGGCCTACGAGCGTGAACTGATCGGCCTCGTGCACGCTGTTCGGCACTGGAGGCCGTATCTTTGGGGACGGAGCTTCACCATCAAGACTGATCATTACAGCCTTAAATACCTGCTCGATCAGCGGCTCGCGACAATACCTCAACACCATTGGGTGGGGAAGCTGCTTGGCTTCGACTTCACGGTCGAATATAAGCCGGGCCAGGCGAATGCGGTGGCCGACGCGCTGTCACGCCGTGATACACCAACGGAGGGCTCTATCCTGGCGCTATCGGCTCCACATTTTGACTTCATCGACAGGCTTCGCCAGGCACAGGCCTCTGACCCTGCCCTCGTCGCCCTCCAGGAAGAGCTCGCCGCGGGCTCCAGAGGCTCACCATGGGCGCTGGTGGATGGGCTCGTCCAGTTCAGCGGGCGGTTGTACATCCCACCGGCCTCGCCCTTACTGCCCGAGCTGCTGGCAGCCGTTCACGCGGAAGGACACGAAGGCGTTCAACGCACGCTGCATCGACTGCGGCGAGATTTCCATTTTCCTAACATGAAACAGCTCGTGCAGGACTGGGTGCGGGCGTGTCCTACATGTCAGCGCTACAAGTCGGAACATCTCCATCCGGCAGGCCTCCTCCTTCCGCTGCCCGTGCCCCAAGGTGTGTGGTCTGACATCGCCCTCGACTTTGTGGAGGCGCTGCCTCGGGTCCGGGGGAAGTCCGTCATCTTGACGGTGGTGGACAGGTTCAGCAAGTACTGCCACTTCATCCCGCTGTCCCACCCATACTCCGCGGAGTCGGTCGCCCAAGTCTTCTTCGCCGAGATCGTTCGTCTCCACGGCGTGCCACAGTCCATCGTGTCGGACAGGGACACGGTCTTCACCTCCACCTTCTGGCGCGAGTTGATGCGGCTGGTGGGCACCCAGCTCCACATGACGACAGCCTTTCACCCCCAGTCCGACGGGCAGTCCGAGTCGGCCAACCGCGTCATCATCATGTTCCTGCGATGCCTCACTGGGGACCGGCCGAGGCAGTGGCTCCAGTGGCTGCCATGGGCGGAGTACGTCTTCAACACCGCCTACCAGTCGTCGCTGCGGGATACGCCGTTCCGCGTCGTCTACGGCCGGGATCCCCCATCCATCCGGTCTTACACGCCGGGAGAGACCAGGGTGGCCGCTGTCGCGCAGTCCCTGGAAGAGCGGGATGAATTCCTCGCCGACATCCGCGCCCGCCTGGAGCAAGCTCAGCTGGTCCAGAAGCATCACTACGACAAGAACCACCGCCAAGTGCTGTACAAGGTGGGGGACTGGGTGCTGCTCCGCCTACGCCATCGACCGACGGCCTCTATGCCCCAGTCCGTCACCGGCAAGCTGCGCCCGCGCTTCTACGGGCCCTACCGTGTCACCGAGCTCATCAACGACATCGCGGTTCGTCTCGCTCTGCCGCCACGTGCCTGTCTGCACGACGTGTTTCATGTTGGGCTACTCAAGCCGTTCCATGGCTCACCGCCGGATGCACCACCACCGCTCCCTGCTGTCCGCCATGGTGCTGTTATTCCGGAGCCGAGCAGCGCGTCGTCAAAGGCGCGCTTAGCGCGCGGTAAAAGCGCCAGTGCTTTGATTCTTTGGAAGGGCGAGTCGCCTGCCTCGGCAACCTGGGAAGACGTTGACGCTTTCTCCGCCAAGTACCCAGATTTCCAGCTCGAGGACGCGCTGGCTCTCGAGGAAGGGGGAGATGTCATGTGGGGGCGCACGTACGTGAGACGCCGTGCGCGTGACGTGCGCCGCGCTGCAGAGCGCGCCCAGCTCTCGGCTGGGAAGGCCACCGTTAGTGGCTAAGTTTAGCAAGTAGCAATTAGTTATTTGGCTTTCCTATTAGTTTGTTGGCTTTCCTAAATTGTAGGCATGGCCGTTCCAGCCATGGGCTATTTATTATTGTATCCGGCACTTTGCAAATTAAGAAAGATCATTATCCCTAATCTCTCTCTTCTCTCTAACCAAACCCACGGTGGAGGGGCAAAACCTCACCGGAGACGACACGGACCGCGGCTACAACCTCCGTAGCCAAGGGCCGGCTACCCTGGGCGTCGAGGCCCTTGACACCACCATATAGTTCTCATGTTCTTATGTTTGCATGTTTGACAGGGAAGCTCCAAGCAAGGACCTTTCTGGCCTGCTCTCCCCGAGCATAGGGAACCTGACAAAACTTGAGACACTGTGAGTATTGTTCCCATGGATAGAGCAAGTCTTAGTGTTGAGTGTTATTTTTTTTAACTTTTTTTATTGGGAGGTGTTCTTTTTTTTTGTCCCAGTCTGCTGCAGAACAACAACATAATTGGGCCAATCCCAACAGAGATTGGCAAGTTAGCAAAGCTCAGGACACTTGTTCTTTCCAGTAACAAATTACATGGTACAATCCCAAACTCCTTAGGCTGCCTTGGAAGCCTTCAGTACATGTAAGTGAAGCATACGCTCCAATTTGCCACAACGTGTTTTTCTTTGAGCCATTTCGTAAAGGTTTGTGTTCTTGCCAGGGTAAATCATAGCCTGGTTTGCACTCACTCTGCACTCTTGTCTTTCAGAGACTTGTCGTACAATAACTTGAGTGGTCCAATACCAAAAACGTCTGCAAGAACGTTCAAGTAAGTATCCAGTCTTGTTCTTCCAGTCTTGTTCTTGTTTTCATCTCAGACGTATGGCATTTATATAGGAAGTCAATGGTTTGGAAGAAATTTGTAGAAAGTTTAAAATCTGTGGTTTTTCTGTCTGTTGTTTTCTTTCAGCATAGTCGGGAATCCTCTTATCAGTGCTGCAGAACAGGACTGTGACAGGACAGTGCTGAAACCAAAGGTCTATCCTTATATCGCTGGTGAACAGTAGAAGCCCCAAGTTGGCAGTCGCTTACCTTATAGGATCATATATACCTCTTTCGCAAAAAAAAAGGAGGATATATACCTGATGAAGCTCAGTTATTAAGGTCTAGCAACAACACCCAGGTTGAATAAGCCATTCCTGTTCCGGCAAAATGGCAGACACGTAATCAAATATTACACAGTTCTTAGGCAGCCCTGTTGTCTCTTCTTGCCGGCTAGTATGCTGTAAACGAACTCTTCACACTTCGCATAATGATTATTACGCAGGTCTCCTCCCATCTTACATAATGTTCTGCAATTGCCGTTCGATTCAGTAATCAGATCCAGTCTTGTGTCTGTTCTTCTCTGCGACTCTGCAGCATATTTCCATCTCAGACATATGACACATATAGGATGCCAGTATTTTCAATTTGAAAGAAATTTGTATAAAGCTTAAGAACTGTAGTTTTTTGGCATTGGTTTTTGACGAATAACTGGAACCCGGGTCACCGAAGCCATGACTAGTCCACAAGACGGGGTTGGGCGGGACCGATTGGTTAAGATGTAATTTGGGATGTCTCATTTACTTGGCGCATAAGGTTTAGATGGACAGGCATGTAAACCAATCAGATTGTGATTCTGTTGTAACCAATTAGAGAACCAAACTGTAAACCGATCAAGCTAGCTAAGACCATATGCGGTAAGAAGCTCCCTGATCGGTACATCAAACACACCCCTACACACATATCGAACCAGCATTCAGTACACAGACAATAAAAAACACCATACCAGGTGTAGGGCACCCCACCTACACCAAATCTTCGTGTTTTGATACCTCTATGATTTACTATGCGTGATGCATCAAATCACTCATTGGTGAAGGGAGATGGGAAACGCCACACATCCTTTGGGTTGGGTGAATTTCATATATAGGCCAAGACGGCTTGCGTTATCAGACATGTGTACAACACATATACATATTCTATCAACCGTCCACTGTCGAAGCGGGAGAGTCATGGACGTAAAGACTGGACCTAAACTCAGTGAACAACTGTACATGTAAGCCTTTGGTCATAATGTCCACGAACTGGTGCGACGATGGGACATGCAACTTGTGCACATGTCCCAAGGCCACCTTCTCATAGATGAAGTGGATGTCGATCTTGATGTGCATCATGCGGCAATGATGGATGGCAATGATAGAGTGGAGAGACTTGTGATGTGCCGCAATAGTGTCATAGATGAGGATGTGAGAACGATGTCGTCGACGTATAGTAGGAAGTAGGCGACCTGATCCCACTCCTAGTACACAAAGAGGGGCATGTCGGAGACTGAGGCAACAAAGCTCACCTGGCGAATCTACGTGGCAAATTGTTGGCACCATGCTTGAGGGGCTTGCTTGAAACCATAGAGGGAGTGCTGCAATAGACAAACAATGCCAGGAGTCACCATGTAGACGAAGGCAGGCAACTGCTGGCAGTAGATATCTTGGTTAAGTGATCGTGAAGAAACACGTTCTTCATGTCCAACTGATGTAGTGACCATGCCTGGGAGGTGGTGATGCCGGGGACAGTCTAGATCGTCATTGGCTTGATGACCGGATTAAACGTCGTCTCATCGTAGTCGACGTCGTGCTGCTGTGCAAAGCCGAATCAATCTAGCGTGCTTTTTTGTGGCATGCAAGAGTGTCTCGACATGGAAATTGTGCTTGTAGATTCACTTTCTTGACACCACATTGGCTCCAGAAGGCCGAGGAATAAGGCGCCATGTATTGTTGTCGACGCCTTATACTCGACCACCATGGCAGCGCTCCAGTTTGAATCAGCAAGCACGCTACGATAACTAGCCGGGCTGGATTGGCGACACCTTAGTGTGGGAGGCGGAGAGATTCAAGGGATGAACTAGCTTCAAAAAACCAGTCTGAGAGCGAGTGAACATCCGCCCAGGTGCTGGTGGCTGTAAGGAGGTAGCGGAATCGTGAGATGCGATCAGGGGAGAGGATAGGGGACCGTAGAGGGTGATGAGGCACACTGTAGATGTGTTGTACACTCGACAGGGAACGATGGGTGGTGCAGCGCTAGGGCAGGGATCGAGGCCGACGTGTCAAGATGGGGCGGTGGTTAGAGTTGGACGCGACATGGGGATTCACGGCACGGAGAGGGAAGGGACAACGTCCGAATGACGGGCGGCGGCTAGGGTTTGGTAGCTAAAAGAGGAGGTAGGATGAGAGCATGTGCTCATGTTCAACACATTATATATTCTATCAGGGGTGGTAAAAAAACATCCACAGTTTTCATAGGATTGCAACGGGAATGTGCCGACAGTGATGCCCTGTGCCTATCAGCATGTTCGCTTGCTCGTAAATGATCGTAAATTTCCAGCCGGGAAACAGTGTTTTTCTCTCACACCAAACCAGCCAGCAGTAAATAATCCACGATACGATACGACCTCCCGAACAAGCTGTATATCACTGGTGAACAGTAGAAGCCACAGGTTGGGAGTTGTCGAGGCGCTTCCATTATTAAGAAGGATATAAACCATACGAAACTCTAAAACTCTGAGTTTTATTAAGACTGTCAGCCACATTTAAGTTGAATAAGGCATTACAGTTCCGACAAAATGGCAGCGTACGAACAAGTTCCTTGCCAGCCTGTCTACTTCAAGCTGGGCGAGTACGTTGTAAGCTCTACTCTTTACTTAGGCGCCGTTCGCTTCGCTGAAAAAACAAGCTGAAACACTGTTTCCGGCTTATTTGTTGTGAAATGAAAATACTATTCCGACTGAAAAAACAAGCTGAAAAAGACGGATTATAAGAGAAGCGAACATGGCCTTAATGGTTAGTTAGTGCTCATGCCATCTTAAATTACTAAATAAGGTTTTGCTTGCCATTTGATTTGTTAATTGGTGTCATAAGAGCAACTCCAGTAGTGCCCCTGTTTAAACCCTCTAGTTAAATATGGGTGCTCAGGAAAACATAACTCCAATAGAGCTTCTACTAGAGCCCTCAAATTTAGATGGGCACCCAAATCCTCCCTCTAACGCTCATTCCTAGAGGATCTAGAGGGAGACCCTTCTTTCAGCTGCTGCCATTTATCTGTGGCAGAATCGTCTAAACTAATAACTCTCAGGAGTACTTGTCTTTCATTAGACACTAAGTACCTAAAAGAGGATACTAAACTACGCAGTTCCGTTGAGCACACACAAAGAGAGAACTCGAAAATCCACATTTTTCCATCAGGATCGTAAACGAGAGAATAAAGCTTACAACATTCTTAAGTCATTTCTTACGTCACTTTATTACAGTATTAGAATATTACCTTAATTTATTATAACAGCGGAATATAACAATGTTATCAGAGTTATAGAGGAAGCATGATTAATTTAATGATATGGTGGAGAATTAACATAGTGTACATTTTTATACAAGAGCTGCTAGCAGATTTTACATCTTTTCTTATAAAAACCTTTCGTGAGGGTTATAAATAAACACTACGGTCGTAGCGTGAAAAGAATCCTCTCTAAGCCCACTAGGAGGTTTCCATACACAAGAGTCAGCTCTAAGTATCCTCCGATCACCTGCAACAGGGGAATAAAACCCTCCGATTATACTTAGCAAGACTTATCCGACAGGAGGAAAATAAGAGACTCCAAGGATATGCAAGGCTATCTGGCTTATGGGTTATTGCATATATAGAAGCATTACTAAACGTGCGTCCTTATATTCAATTTCATTAGCAGTCATCATTAGTTCATTAACTAACCATTCTATGTCAGCACCTATGGTACTTTTAAGCAAGTGGTAAGCAATCAGAACCATTTTACCATCTTTTATATTACAGTTCTTACTGCGGTGCTAGACTATAGCCAAGTCGTACCGTATCACACGGCGATTCGCGAACCAAATATCCCAGCTGGGTACCCCAAAACACATGCCCTTCTTGTACCCCAGGCACAAGTAAGACCAACCCATCACTCTCCTGTCAAGGGGTCCATGTCCCTGGCCAAACTTGGACTCCAAGCCCTCACTCCTGAGTCCTGGACTCAGTATGGTGTTTAGACCTCCACCATCCCCGCCTCCAATCAGTCGGTCCGGAAAGAGCCGGAACCCACGACAAGAGAGCAACGAGCCTTCCCGCTCCCATAAGCAAGTATGTGCTCAGGATAATAAGTCTGTGACCTGACTACCATCCACAGCAACGAACGGTCCTCAATCGATACATGCGGAACAAGTGCAATCCGAGCCTCGCTCGAATGCCTAACCAAGTCCAGATCCAAAGTACCATTCCGCTCGGTCTCCCATTATCATTCATATATATTCCATGTGACAGTAATATAATAACAACAATAATATCTTTCCTATCTCTCGCGAGTGATAGGTAATCACTCGACTTCTACCGGATCTTATAGCATAGCAATCTACACGATCCTGACATACTAGTAGGACTCATAGGATAAGGATATATATATGCAAGTGGTTTTCATCCAACTCCTTAAAACTTAATGCGCAAGCATAAAATAAAGTGTAGAATAATAGGGGTTATGCACCGGGGCATGCCTAGGTAAGATATAACTAAAAGTTAGCATTCCATCATAGTGACACGATAATCAAGGCATCATCTTTTTTGCTACCTCAGTTGATTCCATGATCTATCGTTGTTCCTATTATAATATACGTGGATGCAACGCAGAGATGTAATTAATCAACGGCAACTACAACTCTCAATTACGATTACGCTCCGCAAGTTAACGAGCTAGCTTTAATGACTAACGTACTAGTCTACGTATCCACGTCGTCAAGTACGGCTTTGTCTCCAGAAAAATATTCTAGTTTTAAAATCCCAAGGTGCTTTGGCATTTTATTGATTAAATATATATTTTTGAATTAGGGCTCATTTAGCTACCTAGCAAACTAATTATTATGGAGCTACAAAAATTATAGTGAGCACCTAATAATGTTAGGAATTTACTGTGAAAATTTTAGAACCAACACTATCACCAATTTATCACAAAAATTCCTTTAAGTTTATA